AACTGTTTCCCAAAAGTAATATTCATATCCTGTCATAATATCCCCTCAACTGAGAGGTGTATTATAAAACTAAAAGAGTTAATATTTTGAAGCCCATGAATACTGTAGCAACAAGCTCCAAAAAATGCCCATGAAGAAATTAATAACTCTGTATGCAGAACAGGATCAGAATAAATGCATAATGAATAAAGCATGGGGCATGCTTTCAAAAGTAAAACAGAAAACATAACATTGAAGGGCTTTTTGTTAATTAAGCACAGAGGTTTGTAGGAAAAAATTATATGTGAACGTGCAGTGAGCAACTTTCATAATATATGAGTACATGTAGGAGAGAAAGGGAGAAGTATGGTTTCTCTGGTGAGCTCACTGCTATGATCATGAGTGCTTGATTTTTAACTTCAAAAGTTTAATTTTAGTTTATGTGGTTCACTCAGTATAGTGTTACAATTGTGTACGTGCATGTTTGTTACTGTAGATACTTTATTTGTCACAATGTGCTTTCAGCTTCAGCATTTCCCTACAGAATGACCACTTGGGGAGTGGGAAAGTAAACAAAAATTACAGCTGTCTCAGAAGTGCTCTAGGTACCTCAGAGTGAATATGTTTATCAGGAGATAAGGCAGGAAGGTAACCAGCTTCTGCAGAACTTCTCTGTTTTAGCCTCCTGAGAAGTCCCATGAGTCCTGGTCCCAAGGAGCTGACCCACCACGGTCTTCAGCCTTCAAAGCCTTAGGCATGTGCTGAGCTTGATGTTTGTGAATAAGCCCATTGTGTCCACCCACCCAAAACTCCACACTAGATGGAGGCCTAAGCAGCAGACAGATAGCCAAAGAATGAGGAGGAGGTGTGAGCAACGATGTTTCATATGTATTTTTTTTTTTTTTAGTTCTGTGATTGTGTTTGTCTTACATACTTGTCCTTTTTCAAAGTTTTTTTGGTTTTGGTTGTTTCTTTTTTGTGTAGGAAGAGCTGAAAAGCCTCCAGCTTTCTGGATTAGAAAAAATTAGTAATAAATAAATAAATAAATATATATATATATATATATAAATACCACCACCACTTTTAACATAACTACATTTACCATTATCTCTGTCCCTGTATTATACCCACAGACCAGGAAATTTAAAAGAAAAGGGAAAATGGCTTTGTTGTTGCTGTTGTTGTGTTCCTTTGGTTGGTTTCCTTCCAGCTTAAGCATTCTGTCTTCCTGGCTATGTATTCGTTTCTTTGGAAACGGCTGTAGGATGGATTTTTGATTGACTGTGTTGTCAGATGGATTATCAGAGTTGTGAGCTTTTTGGAATGGTAGACATGAATGTGTGATAAGGAAAAAATATTTTTTACTTAAAATGTTTCAAAAATTTGCATCCTGAAAGGAGTTAGGTTGAATAATTAACAGGTTACTTAGGGAAAGAAAGTTTTTTTTAATGTGGAACAGTTTGGTTACTAGGAAAAAAAATTATTTTAATATAAAGAAAGCTTTTTACTAATGTCACTGATGGGAATATTAATACCTAAGCAATGTAGAATAGTTTCTGCAGAGCTGCAATGCATATTTTAAAGAGTAATTCTAATGTGTAGCTGCTCTGGGTTACAAGCAGAAAACAGCTTTTACCCTGACATATACACACATTTGTTACAGCACTCATGTGCCCAGATTTCTGCATGACTCCCATCTAGCGTTTCTGGGTTTGTTTCCTGTCTTAGTCAGGGCTCTGCAAGGCCAGCTGTCCTCAAGGCTGTGAGTGCCTGGTGCTGCTCTGCCGGTGCTGGGGATGCTGAGGTCGGGGCAGATTGAGGCTGAAGGTGACGTCAGTGCCTACCTTGCTGGGAGAGTTAATCTCCTGCTGCAGAGGCTCTAATAATCTCATCACTTGGGAGACTGGCATGCTGAGGATTGCATGTTGTACATTCCTCTTCTTGGGCTGTAAAGCAATCAGCAAAACCAGTGTTTCTAAAGCTCTGTTGACAAACATGTGCTTGCTAGACAGAGATTGCTCCTTTTTTGGGGTGGAGGTGCAAAGGCTCAGGAAAGAAAATTAACTTTTTAAAGGTGTGTATATACGAAGCAAGGTAACAAAACCAGGTTAGGGGGATCCACTTTTTCAAATGAGCATGCAATTAATAACACTGCAAAATAAGCTGCCTCCTTTGCAGGCATAAAAAAATAACAGAAACCGTATTTCAGATTGGATCAGGCTGGTTTCTTTAGCAAAACACAGCCTGCCAAACCATGACACTGCAAACAGAGGCAGTCATCAGCCCTGACACTGCTCTGAGGGACTGACAGAAAGGGTCTCTGATAACTTCCTTGGAGTCAGTTCCAAGTGTCTGTGATGGCTGGTCATAGAAAGTATATTGAGGAAGAGGGGAAAAGAGCAGGCCACAAGTTTCTCAGGCTTTTCTTTCATCTGGTATGTGGTGCTTTTTGAGGGCTTTATGAAACACAGCAAACTGAACTGCTGGGACAAAGATTGCCTAGTGAAGGCTGCACCTTTTCAGTGGCAGCTACGCGTTCCTTGGCTTTCAAGTTTGCAGCAAAAGGACTGAGTTAGGAGCAATGCAGAAACAACCTGCACGCCAAAAATATAAGGAAGCACATGGGTGCTTCAAAGACACTGACGCTACTTGGTGCCAGACTTCTTAATATTGTTAAACACCTATTAGCACTGTCTTAACCGACCTTTCCAGTTTCAATGTTGTGACCTGCCGAGACTGCCTATCTATAGCAGCACTAACCCTTCATTCGCTGGACGGCAGGGGCAGACGCACAGTGTCCGGGTAGGCACTACAGGTTTCGTCCTTCGAAAGGAGGCTCTGCACCTTGCTCCTACCCGACCCCCGTATTTTGGGGGTCTTTACAAGTCTTGACAGCGGCGATAGGAAGTTGTGTCCCGTCCTTCCTTCCCCCCGATAGCTGCGATAGCACAGTGCGCCCACCCGGAGTTTGCGTCCAGTGCTTTCGGGTGCCCCCGTCCCCCGGCACCTGGGGCGGCCCGCGGGGCCCAGAGGCGCTGCCTGCGCTCCTGGCACGGCCGGGGGAAGGGACTGGCTCCGGATTTCCACCCCTGCCACAGAGGGAAGGCTACCGGGAAGTGCTGCGGGGAGAGAGAGCCTGCGCGGGCTTGGACGTGAGAGAAAGACGCAGCCGCTTCTTGGCGGCAGCTCTTTCAAAAGTCCGTGTTAAATGTGACACCCCGGCGAAATGGGAGCAGAAGAAACACCCCTCTACCCGCCCCTCGTCGTCCCCCCCGCCCTTTTCCATGGAAACTCGTACAAGGAGGAGGAGTAGAGTTTGCTACGGAAAAGTCTCACCTTGGTCTGAAACAGTTTCAGGCGTTCCTGCAGGATCGGAGCTGCCCGTCTCGGGGGAGGGGAGGAGGCAGGCAGGGAGATCTCTAGCTACCTATACGTGTATACATATTTTTTTCCCCCGCTTGATCTTATTTTATTCCAGCAGCACGTATCTCTACCCCTCCTCCCCCTCCCTCTCCAGGTTGATCGGCTGAAATGAGGCTTTGCGCGCTGATCCCTTCTCGGGCTTTAAAACAAAACCCGGCCCCGCGCAGCCGGCGGCAGCTCGGGGCGCCTCGGCGCTGAAGCGCGGCGGGGCCGGGCGAGGCGAGGCAGGACACCGCGGAGCGGGGCGGTGGCTCCCGCGGAAACTTCGCTTGGAAAATAAACCTCCACCACTTTCCTGGAGATCCACGTGAGAGCAGGAAAGCCCGACTGCAAGATCTCTGCGCTGCTGCATGCTGCAATTTTACTTTTTGTTTGCCTTGATTATTTTTTTTTTTTTGCTGTTTGTTTGTTTGTTCTTACTTTCATTTTGGAACCGGCTCCCAGCTGCTTGGCTGAACTTCTGGAGACCAGTGGACCTTTTATAATGCCTTCTTCTGTTTTAAACAAACTGTGGGCTCTTAAACTTTTCTCTTTCCCCCTCCCCCTCGCTCCTTAACCCCCACCCTTCAGCTCATGGGGCTAACACTGCAAAGCAGCAGCAGCAGAGGGGGAAATATACAGACACCGATTTATTTTCCTGTCTCCTAAATTGTAGTTAATTCTTCTTATCGTCCTCCTCAGCACCCATTTTCTCGCGCTTTTTCGGCTGCCGGGTGTCGATCTATGCATTGTTTTATCTGATCTCGATCCTTTTGTTGTTGTTGTTTAAATGCCATGCACTGCTTATCTAGAGAGAAAGCTATATGGAGATAGAGGCGTATAGTGAATGCGCGTGTGTTTCCATAAGACACACTATCAAGGGAGCAGATCAGAAGCAGCCCGGATCCTGACCCTGACTGTATGAATAAGTAAGCAGGATGCTGACGACTGTGTGTTAGTTGCCTGTAAGGTTTTCGTAAGTTAAAGGGCGACGGAGGAGGGGGGACAGGACAGAGACAGAGCTTAGAGTGTTTGTGCAGAGGGGGGCGAAACTCTGACACTTCGCTCCTTCCAGCATAGCTGCTGCCTCCCATCAGTAGAGCTCCGCGGTTTGCTGTAGTGCACCCCACCTCCCTTTCCCTCCTCCCCGCTCCCTTTTCTTCCCTTCCTCCCTTTTTTTTTTTTTTTTTTCTTTCTCTTTTCCCCCCCTCTCCCCGAGGTAGTTTGCTGATGTGCAGCCCGAATCCATCTTCTGGCAGCACCAGCGGGACCGGGGTCGGCGGCGCGGCGGTCGGCGGGCGCGCAGCGGGGCGCGGGCCGGGCGCGGAGCGGGACGCGGGCAGCAGCCGCCGCCGCCGCCTCCTCCGCGGGAAGTTTGGCTGGGTTTTGACAGAGGCGAGGGGAAGCCCTGACAGACAGGATCTCCCGGACTGAGTCCACCCCCTGCGCCCACCCACACACCCAGCGACTTTTCCCCGGCGAGGGGGCAGGGGGGGCAGCGACGCTCATGCTCCTCACTCTGTGTCGCACCCGTCTGACTGGGGCTACCTAGGGAGCACCGTCTCTTGGAAGAGCCTCCAGGTGGAGAAGGAAAAAAATACCAACCTCCCCCAAAACCTATGGTTTCTCCATCCCTTACCCTCCTTTCCCAAGCCGGCGTGGACAGCAGAGCCGGCCGCCTAGTTCACCCTCGCCCTGCTCGCCACCTCTCCGCCCGAGGGAGGATGAAGATGCTTTGCTGGAGGATGGCACTGTGGCTGGCCGGGTGGACGGTCTGCGGGAAGCCTTCTTCCTGCTCTGGCCTTGATTATGACTACACTTACGATTTCACTGAAGAGGATAAAGCCGAGGCGATAGATTATAAGGATCCTTGCAAAGCTGGTAAGTGACTTCCACGTCTAATGCAGCTCCCCGCCCCCTCCCCAGATGGTGACTTTGTCTCGGCTTTATTTACGCGGGGTGCGTGTGGGGGGAGTCCCGGGCTCACCTGCTCCCTTCCCGGGGCAGCGGCGGCGAGCGCAGCCGGAGCCCTGCATCCAGCCGCCTTGCCTGGGGAAGGTACCCGGGACCTGCTCTTCTGGGACTTCCCACTTACTTCCCTACGGTCTCCGGCTGGGCTGGGAGAGGCGCGGCGGCGGGCAGGGCTGGAGCGGCCGCGGCCCCGGGGGCGTCGTGCCGGCCGAGGAGCCGCGCAAGTTGCAGAGAGCATTTCGGCGGGGCTCAAAGGTGTCGAGGCGGGACTGCGCCCCGCAGCACCGGCCGGGCACACGGAGCGGCCGGGCCGGGCTCCGCCGGAGGGTGGCGGCTTCTCCCGGGGCCCTCCCTGCCCGCCCCCGCGGCGGGAGCGGGTGCCGCCTCCGCCTCCCTCTCGCCTTCTCCCATCCCAACCTGTCGCTCCCTCCCCGGCCGGGCACCCCTTCCCGTGGGCCGGGGCGGGCCCTCGGCGCCGGCCGCCCCGTGGAGGTGGATGCGATAAGCGCGGCTCCCGAGCGGGAGGGTTGCGCAGGGGCAGACAGACACTGTCTGTCTGTCTGTCTGTCTGTCTGTCTGTCTGCCGGGCTTTCGGCCCCCGCGTCCCGCTTCCAGAACCCGGCTGGTGGTGCTGCTTGCCGGTGTGCCACAGCCTGTGCCGTGGGGTTCCACAGCCTGTGCCGTGGTGCCTCCCGCCTGCTCGGTGCCTGACAGATCCCTTTCCACGCTGTGCTGAGGTACAGCCTCTTCTCGCTTTGTACAGTGGTTTTCCAGAACGTTTATCCTACTGATTAAGGACTGCAGCCTCTTTAATGCCAGATACAATTCTTCACCTATTGAAGTTATCGGTAACAAGAACTGACCTCAGGAACCGAGTTCACTGGTATTTCAGTAGACATGTGCATCTCGGTGATGCTTTTTTATCCTCCCCAAAGTGTTCTCAACAGCAGTGGTTGTCCATTCCCAACAGCTCCATTGTTAAACAAGCGCTCAAGTTTTCTAGCAGCCTCCTTTGCATTAATTAGTTATTTTGTATTCTGAAAACTAGTTCAGCCAAAGGTTGTGTTCTCTATATCTGTGTGGTTTTCTTTAATTTATTGAAGAGAATGTGTGGTGTACATATATGCCAAATATGCAGATGCTCTGTTTTTCTAATCACAAAAATATTTTGTTCCTAATTGTGAATTGTTAGGTCTGACTTGCTTACAACTGAAGAATGTTCAAGTTCAAAAAGAACAGAAGCAACTGCAATCAAAACATTATTTTTTCCTCAATTCACACTCACAAATAAGTAACTGGTCATTGTTAACCTTTTCTTCTGGTCTGCAATTATTTAAGAAGATTCATATGCATCATTTCATATAATGAGAAATGCCTGTTTACTCTCAGTTTGCTGTGGGATTCTTGTTTCATAGTGGGAATAATTAGCAATTATAATTCATGATACTAAGTGTTTTGAGGTTATGCATGAGAGAAAGACAACAGTAGGAGAATGCAATTTGATCTGCATTGCCAATTCTCTGCCATCACTTAGTTTTGCCTGGAGAAAGAAGCATTTGTTTGGAAAATTTGGCCCATGGAAACATTTTATTGAAGTTCTTACTTGTGCTGCTTCATAAGTATAGGGAGCTTAGGTAGGTGTATGAAGAGTTACCTGTGTGTAGTTCCTCTTAGTCTTAAAAGCTATCACTTTGAGGATGTCTATCCAGTGAAAAAAACTATTATTTTGTTTGCTTCTTAGTGTGTGGTAGTTCTTCAGAAATAAAAATAAATGTGCCTCAATGCTGCACACTGGGTGTGTACCATGTACCCATCATTTTTTAATAAAAAATTGAAAGCTCTATATATCAATGAAACTGATCCTCCAAGAGTATTTCCCAATTTACTTTTCCTGCTAGATCTTCCTTAAAGGCTCCATTAATCTCAGCCTGTAAAGTGCCTGATCAAAGATGCTGGGAGCAGCGGGTGCTCAGCCTCTTTTAGCAGCACAGCCCAAGTGTGTGTTCTCCCTAGGTCAGCTCTTATCGTCTGGGGTGGGTTTTGGGCTCCCAGGAGTAAATTTACTGATCTCTGCCATTAGGATGGGTTCCACAGTGAGGCCCTATAGAAGGACAAAGCCAGGCTTCACACTCAGGGGTGTGAGACGTTCACACTCAAATTTGTGTGTCACTCAATGCGCAAGGAAACAGGATAAAATAAGAGAATTCTTGCTGAGATAAGGTATGCAAGCTTTGTAGATATAATTAACACCTGCTTTTACTGCATCTTGAGGGCCTGCAGCTGAGCCTGTAAAAGTGCCTTTTTTTTAAGCTGTTCAGGTTGGTCAGCTGGGTCAGTGTTTTCTGTTAGGAACCAGATAGAAGTGAGTTTCTGCAGCTTAGAAAACAAGCTAAGCCATTTATGGTTTTACCTAGTTCAAAAATTTCAGTGATACCAGTGCAAATCTTAGACATGTTAGAATAATTTGACCTACCCCCAAATATGCTGATGCAAGATTGTTTCACCTGTATTTTAGAAGTTATTTGCATTCAAATTTTCTCCAGTGAGTGGTGTTTGCTGCTTAGTTTTCTACTGAATAGACTACGTTTGCAATCTCGTGACAGAAAGCACTGCACATGAGGCATGAGATCCATAGTTAGATGAAGTTATAATTCTATAGCTCCTTATAGATAACTATTTCTGTTGAATAAATGTTCTCTTGGTAGGTCCTTTTCTCCCTGTTTTATTGTGAAAAAACTGAAGGAATTTACCAGAAACACAATGTGGCAGCCTCTAAGGGGTTATTTATGGGTATTCTGTGGGGATTTTATGGGTGCTATATATGTGTTTTAACTTTTTCACAAGGAAGGGATCATTTTAGTGGATGTGCCTAGAATCACACTGTTGCTTTGACTTAAAACTCCCAGGAGCAGCACAGTGCGGGATGCTATAGAGGCTGAAAAGTACATTTTATTACAATATTTCAAACTTTGTGAAAAATATACAGATAACAGATGTCTGTCAGATGCCCTGTAGAACTAGGAGGTGTTTCTGGAGCTGATGTTGCTATTTGCACCTAAAACAGCAGCTATTTTATGCAACAACCCCAAAGTACAGTCTCAGTAGTAAAGCCAGCACATCAGGAGCCCTGGAGCTTCAGGGAAAAGAAGGGCCTGGAGAAATGCTGTGGTGCTCTTGGGGAGACAACCATTGGAAGGAAGCTGTTGACATTGTGCAGAAGGACTTGATGAGCTGTGTGGTTTCCCGTAGGTTTGTCTGCAGACCTTTAACCTGTGTGTGAATTTTGGGTCACGCTACTCCTCCTTCCAGCAAGAATCCTGGCACACTGTAGCAGCGGGATGTGATGTAACGCAGTTTCTGTGCTTCTGATGTCTCGGATATTTCCTTGTGTCTCTCTGCAGGATATTGCCCTCAGTGTTTACCGTTGTGAGTTCAAGTGTAAGGCATTCTTAGTTCATCTTCAAGATGTAATTTGCCAGAAGATGTGAAACTGGGAATGCCATAGTCTTAGGACATAGATCAGCATTTGCATAATCAGATATCATTCCAAAGAAGAAAATGCTGGGTTAGATTTCAAGGGGCATCATCAGACTTTTCAGATTGCAGCATGCACCTGCATTTATTTGTGGATTCCTGAGGTTTTTCTCTTTTTTTCCATTCTTATCACAGTTTATGACTTATTCAGGATATCTGCTGAGAAATATAGAGAGTGAGATGGCTAGAAAAATAATTTCCCATCCTGTAATACTTGTTCATAGCCTGCACTAAGTTGATATTCAAGGTTTTTTGAAGGCTTTTGTTTTGTTCTCTCAACAACTTTGTTTTCCTAAAACAAAGTAAAGCAAATAAAAAAGGTGGGTGTACTCTGGTGTGGTCTTCCAATTAAAATACCATGAACTGTGGGAGATTAGGCAAGAAGTCTTAGTTCTGTTGTATAGCCACAGTGCTGAGGTCTCTTTCAGCCTCTGGACAGCTGACTGTCCTCAGATAAGTCTCTTTTAGCATTTCTTCTGTAAGGTATTTCACTTCCTAAAACAAATGTTAAAGGTTTGGGGAATAAGCTTGAAGTTGATTTCCTTGGGCTATTATTTTTCCCTTTTGTGGGCCTGTTTTTTTGCACTAGAAATTTTGTCTTGTACTAGGAGAAACTTTCCCAAGGAGAACATCACTGAAACTTTTACAGTTTTCACTGCCATTAGCTTGGATTACTCCCCCTGCCAAAACCCAGTTAATTGGGATTTTTTTCCTTTCAAATGATGCATGCATTGCTCTTATGTTTTTTCCCCTCAGTGAAGCTAGATAAAAATGTCAAAAAAAAGAATATTGTAAACAAGCAATTAAATTTAAAGCTTTATACCTTGAAAGTTGGTTAGCATGCAGTTATTTGACTAAGAACAAATTCGGTATGTATGCATGCCTGCCTGCTTGAGAATTAGAGAAAATTAAGACTGACTGTACTAATTTCTCCATTTCTCCCTCCTGTGAGAATCTAAGGAACTACTTTGTTTACTTTGCACTTTCATAAATAATAATAAAAAAGTTTGGACTTAAAAATAATAAAAAAGTATGTAGCAGGAAAATTAGTATTTCCCAGATCACTGAAGCATCTAACCTAATAATATATTTTATTGGTAAAATAGCTGAATAGGAAAAATTGATAGTAAATGTTGAGTACAATTGTTATGCAGTGTCATCTGTAACCGCAGTCTAACTATTGTTTCCTGATGTTGTAGCAGCAGCATTCTATACTGCTACATTTTTATTTTAGTTTCCCTCTTGTGCTCTGGGACATGTGTTCAGTTGTAAGCATTCTAATTGTGCATTCTGGTAATAGGAAAATTCTTAAAACCTCTGATTCTATATTTTGAATCTGTTGCATGGTTTAGGTAAAAGAGATCTTTCATATTTAT